AAAATCTTGGTCTTGGGGACTTCTTGCTTGTCTCCCTTGACCTTGTACTGGGTTTTCCCATCTTCAGAGGTAGGCTCTACCACGCGAACCTCCTCTGAAGGCTCCTGAATCTCGTAGGACTCCTCTTCTTTGTGAGGAACCTCCTCCATGGTGACTGTAGTCTCGGATACCCTGGGCACTCTTCTTGGGCTAAGATCTTCCGTCCTAGGCTGGATTGCCAGGCTAGAGCCCTCTTTTTGAGTGTATTCCTAATTCGTTTTGTATCTTTTTTCGGTTTTTGTTGGTTCTGTTCTCTGGCGAAGCCCTGACTTTTACCAATTATTGCTAGTGCCGTTGCTAGTGCCGTGGAGGGGTTTGGGACTGGGGTTGGGGCCAGCCAGCGAATTAGCCTTTGTTGGGCAACCAATCAACTTGCACTGCTTGCTCCGCTGAACCCCCTCTATCTGCTCGAGCACTGCTTGAGCGCTGCCTTCTTTCAATGTTCTGGCCGCTGGCTTTTCATTACTTTTCTATCAACGTACTTAGGCCATTGTTGTGCAGTTATTTAGCACAATCAACACTCGATGCCGCTGATAGCCGCTGGTAGTCCTCCCTTCCTCCCACCCCCTTCCCCCTTCCCCTAAGCTACCCTCTCAAGAGGGTTTCTTCCTGCTTCCTGCTGCTTTCCTTCATTCGAGAGAGAGAGAGAGAGAGAGCGAGAGAGAGCTTCCCTTTGGCTTAGTAAATTTTATCAATAGCAAACATTTCTCTCGAGCCCCGTACGTACTCCTGCCCCTACCGATTCCGCACCGCATCCTGATGGTCGGGTGCTCACCTGAAGGCAAGATCCTTTGTTCATTTACGTTTCAGTTGAGTTGCACACAAAATTAATGGAAATTGCTCTGCAGAATGTACGAGTGCGGAGCTCCTACAAGATTTTGTCGGGTGCGAGGGACTTGCAGACAGATAGATGCTGTTGAGTGGGAGACACCGAGGCGCACGGAGGCCCAGCCGGAGATACACAGAAGAGGGTATTAAAAAATTAACAAAAAGCTGCCTGGCAAAGTGGCAAACTGGCAGTGGCTATGGCCAGCCTCCTGCCTGCTTCGCCCTGAGGCATTTCATGTAATTGTTGCATGCCCCATACCAGTCCCAGCCCCAGCCCCAGTCCCATTCCCATTTGCAGTCCCAGTCACTTCCTGCAATTGCATTCAATTGGAATTATCTATGAATGGCTCAGGCCAGCCTTAGAGCATTGTAGCAGCAGAGGCTCATGGATTGTCCTGGGAATCTGGCAGGCAGCAGCAAGTACCCGAATCTCGGACAAGTTGTTGAGCGCTTAAGCCGGCCCCACAAATTGATGGAAAATAGTAGGCAGTGTGTGCAGGGCTTGCAGGTGTGTTTGGGTTGTTGAAATGCCTGGATTACTCCTTAAATTAGAGCCAAGTCGGCAGGCTACTCGGGCACTAGGTTGGGCTTGAGATACTCCTATTCTCCTGCTTGCAATGGGAAATCTCTAAAACGTTAAGCACTGCCCCTCAGTGCCACTTCATCCGAAAGAGTGTGAGTCTTCGAACGAAGATACTTTTCTCGTCTTCAGCTGCCCCGAGGTGCATCCCCCCCGTCCTCTCGTATCCACGAAATTCATGTCTATTCCTGTTCATTCTTCCACTCATCGATTCCATTATATTTTCTCCCTTTGCCTTTTGCTCTTTGCTCAATTTTCACGCTACTTGTTGATTAGTTTTAAATGAGTTTCGCTGACGGCATTTCCTAACCCTTTGCAGACCCAGACCCAGTCTCCAGTCCCCAGTCCCGGCCTCCTCCAGCCTTGATTGATATTTACGCGCTTTGGCTGATTGAAGTGTAATCAGCAAGCAGTCAGTCAGAGAGTCAGTCACTCAGTCGGCAGTCGGTGGGAGGGAGGCGGGAGGACGGAGTCCGGAGGAAGCTGCGAGGCATGTATTAGCAGCGGAATGAAATGAACGAGTAAGTGAGCAAATCGTAATTAAAATGGCGGCAAACAGCAGCAGCAGGAAGCAGGAGGACGCTTCGAGGACCGACATACGCTATACCCTTACCAGACTGGAAGATGGGCTCGGCATTTCAAGCAGTGCAAAAGAGGATCTGTTGCGGGCTTAAGGGCCATGTAGCTGATATGCTTTCTGCCTGTATAAATGCCTATTTGTCTGATCACAAAGGGAAGGGCACTCCTTGGAAGGGTAGCAACAAAAGTAAAGCAACAAATTACGCCCGAGGACACAAACAATATGCATTAGAGCCGAAGAACATGAAGCAGCAGGAACAGAAGGAATCACAGAGGAAGAAAAGAAAGAGATAGAGTCGCGAGGGCTGAGAAAGGGATGGAAAGAGTGCGGGTCAAGGCACTCGAGTGTCTGGTGGCAGTGACGTTGACAGAGACGAGACGCTAATGAAAATGCATAATCAGCTGCAACGACGGGGTGGCAATGGGTGCAGTGGCAGTAAGCAGTAGGGGAAAGCAGTGGCACTCAACAGACGTTATGATAGGAGAAGCAGTGGCGAAGAGAGGGACATATGGCGACAAGCAGTGCAAGAGCAGCAGAAGTAGCGGAATGGCGACTGAAAAGTGGCTGAGGGGAGGAGGGGAGCAGCGAGAGGCACAAAAAAAGGATGTGTCCATTAAATCCACTGATCATTCGCCAAAAAAGATGATTTCTTCGTAGGCAAAATGTAAACAGTAGGCGAAAACAAGCAGTTAAACAAGCAGTGAACGAAAGCAAGCATTCTAATGCACAGAATGCACTCCGAGAGAGAGAGAGAGAAAGAGAGACAGAGCACATTGCGAATGCAGTGGCATGGCAAATGCTAAAATGGGCAATACAAAAGATGAAAGCCGCACAGCCAGGGCGCCACTCATAAATACAGCAACGCCGCCAACAAAAGGCAGGACAGACAGGCAGACAGTGGGGGAGGGGGAGTGCGAGGGGGGAGTGCGAGGGTGGAAGAGATAACATGCACTCGTCTCGCACTCATCGTGTGTGTGCGTTGACAGACAAAACGTTCGTTGGGCATCCCATGCTCTCCGTCCGTCCCTCCGTCCGTCCCTCCCTCCGTCCGTCCCTCCGTCCTGTGTGTCTCATATCTGTTTGTCTCTGTCAGTCATGCAAGCAGTCTGTCAGTCACTTTGTCCCTTTTGTCAAGCACTCTGGCAGTCATCGTTGCAGTCTCCTCCACTCCCCCCTCCACCCCTCCACAGTCCGGGCGTAAATCAAAGTGAAAAGCGTGCTAATTGCATTAAAAGCATATAAACAAAATGCAATGCAAGTGGCTGTGATAAATATAAAAAACAACAGCAGCCGAATGAAAGGCCTCCCACCAGAGCCCCAGCCCCGCCCCCCCCTGAATGTCACAGAGCATATCCCTCCGACCGCCTTTTGTGCTGTGAAATTAAGCAAATAAGCATGAGCAAAGAGCAAAATGGCTTCAAAGGGGGGCGGGGCAGGACAGCCATGCAGCAGGAGGCGGCCGTAACTTTGTAGCCGTAACGTAACCCCTTTTGGGCCCCACTCGCGACGCTTTTCATTTGGTTTAATTGCCAGCAGGCGGGCCAAAGGGCGGCTTTAAAGGGCGAAAAGGGGTTCCTGATAAAGAGGTTGGATTTTTAACTAGGATTTTACCATGTTGAGCCTGGGCTGTAGTCCAGGAGCTCTTTTTACTTACCTTTAAATGATGGAGTGTGTTTTTCTATTACCATTTCAGGGAATACGGATCCCTCGCTCTACAGTTTGTACACAGATCCTGAGGTACAGGAATTCCAAGGAAACACGGATAGTTTTGACTCCACGAAGTTGAATGCAGGTGAATATTCTGAAGCATGCTCTTTAGAACCCCTCAATTGCAGTCTCTAAATGACACAAATTTATCCTGAGGACAGATTTTCCTGTATTATCATCCCATGCCACACTAAAGAGTCGCGATCTACTTACTTTCCTGTTTCATGAGCCCTCTCATTCCTCGAATGGCGGCCAATATGGTATCTATTTTCTCTTCTTTTCCCTCCCTTTCAAGTCTACAAAAGAACTTTCTATATATGCTAATGTTAACAACAATTACGCGCCGATCCAGCTGGTAGTTAACAAGAAATATGAGCATTATGGGCTAAAGCCTGGAGTTTGGCTCCTTCAGGCCGGGAGTGGAGCGGAGTGGAGTGTTGCCGAGTCATTAACCTTCCATAAAGGAAGCAGCAGAAAAGGCTGTCTGGATAAGCAAGAACACAATCTGAGCCGCATTTATGGCTGGCGATACGATGCGATACGCACAGGCTGCCGTTGGCCCAAATTGCATGTACTCATGGCATGGCTGCCGGTGAAGGGCCCAGGAATCGGTCGTTTTATAGCACCCAATCACGACTCCGACTCCGACTCCGAACTGGCGGGAAGATACGAGTACTCCCTAGAAGAGTGGAGCAGCCGCATGCGTGGAGCAAATTCAATCGTACAATGTGTTGATATATGACACGTAATCAAATGTTTAAGTGCATGGCACACGCATCGCCAGGGACAGAGAGAGAGAGAGAGAGAGTGCTGGGGCATATGGCCCTACTCTTTCAGCACAAAAAAATATGAGGAAAATCTATAGCAAACGACAGGGTGGGGGGCAGGAGGCGCCACAGCAAATCCGACAAGTAAATATAATAACAATAAAATGAAGCAACGACATGAATGCCAGCGCAGCCAAGGCGAGATATTATGACACTGCCAACAGCGATAAAAAAATAAAGAAAGCAAGACAGAGAGACGGAGAGACAGAGAGAAAGTATAAAAACAGCAAAAAGAATGCCTGGCAAGGACGATTGTGCTGGCACGAAGATTCGTTGGGGCAACGTCTGTTTCAGGTCAAGAGCGCATAAGGACAGCGGACGGGTGACAGGGGAGGGTGGGGGAGTGGGGCAGAAGTGTTGAGTGGGTGGGGAGGGGGCACGGCCCTGCCATCGCCCAGCAATAAATATTTTCTGCTTTGTTTTTGTTTTTTTTGTTGCATTCTTTATTTCTTTAAAGACTTAATAACATTCATTATCCGCATATATTTTACACTGCTACACAGGGTTTGGGTTTTTGGGTTTTTGTGTTTTTGGGTTTTGGCTTAAATTCTCTATCGGATTGGAATATAATTTCGCTAGTTATGCCCTTAGCCTATTAACATTTAACAATTGGTTTGGTTTCATCATACAAGAGAGAGGGTTACGGGGTTACACATACAGATATGCCTTAAGGTGCGCGTCATACGTATAAGTTCAGTGAAACGGATGAATGGGATGAGTGTCGTGATTGGAGAGAGAGAATGGATGAGAATAGCGATATATATATTCGTAGATCCCCCACCCCGATTATGTCTAGGAGAACTGTAATCGTAAATACTACTGCCGTACGGAGAAAACTATCCTTAAAATATATACAATCTTAGGCTACGTTTATTTCTGGGATCCTTAAAGCAATACAAACGGGAACCGAAGAAAATAATGGAAATCTATAATATCTGTGAGTATTTTTGTACGCCTTTACATCGGTATATCTTCTTCTAGTCTGTCCTTAATCTAGGCTTTAGTTGGGACCATCTCTAGACCTTATTTATTCGTTATTTCTAGCACAAATGGAATCTGTTTACACCCTTTCTTCCTCCAGAGGATCTGCTTAGCCTAGGAGATGATTAAATACTGGGATCTCCGAGTCCCTAATGGGTTTTTTGGCTACTTGCTTGGGCTTTAATCTTAGATCTATACAGTATCTTTCAAGCATACGTGTGGTGTGTATTCTTTTCTTTATTTGTATTTCTTTTGTGTTGAGCATTTTCTCGGGAGCTAAGAAGCGGAAAGCCCAAAGAGGAACAACGACGTTCTATGGTGGAAATGGCCCTAGAGCCCGTCTAATAATTATCTATAGATATGTACAGACACACACTGAAGCAGGACCGATACGCGGCGTATACTGGATGTAAATGCAAATATTTACAAAGAACTTGATGGGATTTTCCAACCAAACAATGGAGGCCCCTTCTCCTCGTGCTCCTCCTCCACGTCCTCGTCTCTATTGGCCAACATCTTTGTTAATTGTTATCTACGTGGAGCAGCGTCCACGTTTAATTGGGTCGACAGCAGAGTCCTCCTGCTGCAGGTCCAGTGGCAGCAGCACCTCCGATGGCCGCTCCCTCGGACCGTCAGGGCCGTCGGAAGGCTACACAGAAAGGCTATTAGGACTGGCAGCGCGTAGAGGGAGATGCGTGCAATTGATTTGGAAGCTAATATGCGTGACCAGGGCGCAGATGAGCCCGTGCCCCACACTGATGATGATGAGGCTGCCGCACTGGAGGAGGCGGCACTCGCCGCCGCCGAGGTGGCCGCTGCGGGGCGTCGGCTCTTCTTCAGCTGCTTGTCTGCTGGGGAAAGCGAAAGGAGAACAGTGGGAAAAGTTACGAATCTGCGGGGGTGGGTGTGGGTGGGGAACAACTGTTGCTGATGATTGATGATCGCTTACCTTCCAGCGGGGACTGGGACTTGTCCAGCGACTGGCGGGACTTGGACATGACCGTCTCCCGTGACTCGAGCACGGGTATCCTCTGGTGCTTGTCGCTCTCCACGCTCTCCTCGTTGCTCTGCCAATACACGGAGGAGATTTTGGCGACACACTGCAGGCGGGCCGCCGGGCAGCCCCGGGAAATGCAAGAAGGAAACGGGAAAACTTTCATCAAATCTGTGTACATTGATAAATGTGCTCCCCACCGATGGGGATCGGGGGGATAATGCGGCTGGAGGTGCACTCCTCCATGGCTCCATTGCTGTTATTCTCTTGACGGCACAGTAAAAGTTTTATGTTTTCATTAACTCCCAGCGTAACCCAAAAATTACCCGCATACTCGTATATTCCGGCGGACATCTCCCACGGACGGAGGACACTTAAATGTACGAGGACACACACACAGGACACATATGCAAACGGACAGGACAGTGACCCTCCCTGGGCGGCTGCACAGTGGAGCAAAATGGGGAATATTTGGCTGTTATCGAGGCTTTACTGTAACCCCAAAACCATAGATTTCCCTGCCACTGTGCCACCCCCGTCTGCCACCCGCGTTCGCATGAAATTTTGTGGCTTGTTCGACATACATTTGCACTTGCAACCACCCCCCGCCCCCCACCTATGTGATGTGGCGAATGTGCGGATTGGTCAAAGGGGGCGGGGGCAGGGACTGGAGTGGCGAGCGGTCAGGGGTGAGTGGTTGTGCTGCCAACTGCGTCCGAATGGATAATAATCAACATGAGCTGCCGTGTTATGTTGTCGCAAATTGAATCAGAAGAGCGCTCTGCTGCCCTGCCCTGCCCTGCCCTGCCCTGCCCCCCTCCTGTCGCCGTGAATGTATCAATTTTCATGGCTGTAATCAGCTTAAAGCCAGAGCCAGCCCCCCGTGACGCCCTCCCGTGACGCCCCCCCGTGACTCACCTTCAGCTTCATGTCGCCGTGCTTGAAATGTCACCCGCGGACGCGGAACTCCAGCCCCAGCCGGGCCACCTCCAGGCCCTCGCGGCCCACAATCAGCGGCTCGTAGGGCCGCAGCAGCGAGCGGTTCGCGTGCATCCCGTTAATCAGCCAGCTGAGATGGCAGACCGGCTTGGAGGCCGCCGAGGTGCAGTTGACGCGCACCATGTCGCCAATTTGGTAGCGCGGCTGTCCGCCGGTGATCTGTGGTCCGTGCTTCGGTGTCACTGCAATTGGAATCGAGAGACGGGAGAAATGCGGCGGAGATTAGTGAGATGCTCGTGGATTTAAGGATTGGCGCGGCAGTCGGCAGCCGGCTGTGGATGGGTTGATGGAGGAGCCAAAGAGGTGCCTGGGGAAGTCGATTGGGTTTTGCCTTTCGGTGGGTGGACAAGGGGCTACTGCTGTATCTAATGGCTTATCCTACGATGCATATCCCGCCCCCTTTGGAGCGTGGAGAGCGACCCTCCATTGCCATTCCACTTCGATGATTGCATTCCCCTCCAAATGAAGTTGTTTGCCACCGAAAAAGATTGATTGATAATTTGGTTATTGGTTTCCAAACAGAATTCTATTTCGCTGGCCAATTAAAGCCCCTCTCCCTCCGCCCCAGACCCAAAAACTAAACAAAATGGAGGCACATACATATCCATATATCCTATAATAAAACACTGAACACAAAAATGTCTATGGCTATTTTTACACGCTGTTGCGTTTGATTTTTCCTCTTTTTTTCCTGCTTTGTGGGCCCTGCCTGCCCGGATGAATGTTGCCCATAATGGAGAGCATACAACGTGCAACGTGCAACATACAACATGCCCGTAGTGCCGTCCGACTGTTGGCTGGCCGCCTGCCAAATGGGTCAACGAGGGGGAAAAATCGAAGGCGCATAATCGATAAATTCCCATTGATGAAAACTTGCAGCAATTTAAAAGGAAATACGCGAAAATCCCAGCAGATTTTTCACTAAAAATCTCCATAAATGCCTTTAAAATGGGAAAAGCTTCGAAAGTAGAGAAATTAAAAGGAAACTCCACACCAAAAAAGGGTCAGGAAAAAGTATTGTGCTTCTCCTTTTTCTTTGCCTTAGTTTCGGTCCCCTCTTTCTTATTGTTTTTCCTTGCTTTCTTCCTGCCTTTCGGAGTGCTCTTTCCACTCCCTTTGAACGGCATAAATTATTGTATTTTCAGCGACTATTTTTACGCCGCTTTGACATTGATTAAGCTGTGCATAGCCGCCCTTTTAGCCCCCCTCCCTGTCGATGGGCTCCAGATACTGGAGGGTATTCCAGGGCATATCGATCCATTTCCACTGGATCTGCAGTTCTCCTCCTCCCCCAAAGATACTGCCAGAAAACCTTAAGATCGTAAAGATATAGTGCCTCCTATGCACCACGAGGTATCTCCTTGTCGAGTCGTCGCTCCCAGGGCCCCCTTTAATATTTTGGCAAAATGTTGAAACATTTTCTACGCTTTTTTTCGTGGCGCCTGGGCGGGTGAGTAAACACTTTGTTGTCTGTTGCCTGTTGTCTGTTGTTTGTTGGCCGTTCGCTGTATCAATTGGTAATAATTGCTGGGCATTTTCATTATTTAGCCGCCATTGTGCGGCTTTGTTTGCCCAAAGGCTCTCTCGGACAAGGGATCAGGCCGTGGAGTCCGTGGAGGCCGTGGAGGCCGGGTCCGCGTGGGTGCCAGGGTTCCAGGGCATTGTCCGGCTCGTGGCTCTGGGACTCGGGGAACAATGGAATCAATTGAGCAACTGAAACAAATATCTAAGCAAATCCGATGCCTAAATAAACTAACAATTTTTCACCTTAATAGCCTTTGCTTTTGCCTTCGAAACGCACAAACCGAAAGGGGTCAAAAGGGCGCAGTACTCCTTTCGGAGGTGGCTACAAAGGAGGCTTTAATGGCAGATGATACCCGAAATAAAGCCAGAGCTTGTTTTAATCGAAACACATATCGATTTCCCCGATATTGTATCTTTCCGACTTTTATTTCATTAAATTTTCCGTGATTTTTCCATCAGAGCCAACAGAGTGCAAGCCACTCGCGCGGTGAAGGATTATGTGGAACCAATGCTGCCCCCCACCCGAAAGCCCCCACAGGATATTCTCCATCATATGCAGCTGTGGGGCGACGGGTCGACTGGGAGACAGTCCCCCGAGCATTCTCCCGTTTTCAATTTCCGCGCATACACTTCAATTATCGCTTTTGTCAGTCGTACAGTCGCTCGGTCGGTGGGTCACTCGGTGGGTCAGTCGGTGGCTACTGGACGGAGATGGCTCTAATCCAACAACTGGGTCAGACATATATTTTGCCCTGTCATAGCGCCTCATCATTTGCGGGCTTTGCCCAGTAATTGCATTCAATTATTCCAACCAGAATATCGTGTATCGTAAGCGGGGAGTTCCATTAGTTCCCTTCGCATGTCCCTTTTCCCATTGCACATTAATTTCAATGACATTTCTTCGATTCACGCCGCTCTGCTTAGAGCTCTGTTCCAGCAGGAAACACGCATCGCATCGATTCGCTGTACAAATGTCCCATAGGCGAACGGAGCAGAGAGAGTCCTGACTGAAACTCTCGCAAAACCCTTTTCCATCGCTCTTTCCGCTTCCCTTTTGCCTGTCACCTCTGTTGACTCTTCCTCCTCTCTTTCGCAGCTCTTTTCCTCGTCGCTTTTCCCAGCTTTTCCCAGCTCTTCCTCGTGTTTTTTTTTAATGGCTCACAAATTCATTAAGTTTATTGATCCGCAAATCGTCATAGTCATTATGCCTTTGATTTAATCCGCTTAAACCTGAACCGGCTGGAACCCGAGCCACCACCTCCACCACCCCCTCCCCCTTTAGACTGCCACACACTTTTTTTTCGCCATTAAATCCTGAGCGTAATTGAGTAATTTCCATCTGAAAACGGAAACGAGTGTAGGCTCTGATTGGTTGCCCCCCCCCTCCGACGTCTCTGTGTCGCACTCCCGAGCCATCGAGGAAATATTTAGTTAGCCTAATTATGCGATATACCAATTTTGATTGCCTCCATCCCCTGCCCCTGCCCCTGCCACCGCCCCTGCTCCTGCCCCAATTGAGTGGCGCTCAATGAGAGAGCGACGGAAATGAAGGTGAAATTTGCCCCCGTCTCCAAGCGCAATTGTGCCCCAACGACGACGACGACGACTGTCGATGATAAACATCATCATAATAATGAGAAACGTTTGGGGAACTCGAACTGGAGGATTATTTGGGTCAGAGATGTGTCGATACTCCAAGCATTTCATCCGCCTTCCAGGGGGTGGGGGGTTGGGGGTTGGGGGTTAGGGGGCCTGACGTCATGCATTTGGGGGTTTCCATGCGACAGTTTTGCGTGGAATTTATGCGAAATGATCTTGGGGGGAATTAGTTTTGAGCCGGAGACATGGTAGACAGCCATTCGGCGGTCTGTTCTTTGATTTCCGATGAAGATTCAGCTGTGACTCTTGACTACGACTCCATCTATGGCTTTAGCCTGCTCAGAAATGCACAGATTCCAAGTTTAAAGCCTTTAAATCTTTAATGGAATATCTGCCTTGAAATCGGACGGGGATGCGGAACCCAGCAACAAATATCCGCCCGCCGCATTCCCCTTTAATGAGCTTTCTCTCTCGAATGGGCTTTCTCTTTGGGATGAGACGGGGAGGAGGGGGGGAATGAATGAAAAGAAAAGAAAACTGAGAATTTATCTTTTCTTCACTTTGCTGCAAGGCCCCGTGCGGCACGGCACGGCCCGGCACGGCTTTCCACTGATATTAAACACGTTTACTCTAAGTTTTCCTCGGGAGCAGTTTTTCATATTGCGTTTGGCCATATTTTGCGCCATGTTTTGTTGGATTGCGCAAAAATTTCAAATTAAGTTGCACAGCGCAGAGGAGGGGCAGGGGGGATGGGGGAAAATCTGAGCCGGATGGCAAGTCTGAGGCACGGGCTAAATCTGAATCTGAATCGGAGGCCGAGGCCGTGGCCGAGGGAGTGTCTGAATCGGAGGCAGGGCTCTGGCGGTGCTCTGGCTGTAAGTGAGCAACGAATTGCATCACGTACATGGGCAATTTGCCAGCGGAATACAATACAAAGGATAAATACACACGCACACACACACACACACATACATGTGTATCCTGTAGTCGAGCAGAGAAACGGCCAAGAAAAGGGATGGCCAGAGCTTCAGCCTCCACACCTTCTGTCTCATTCTCGTTTATAGGTCCACCCGGTAATGGGGCCCACGAAGAAGGTATATATTATATGGGGATACAGATGCGGGAGACCTCTAAAGATGAGTATTTTTTGCCTGGCTAACAGGAGAGCAAGTTTCTAAGTATTTTTAGTGGTTTCTGTATGGCATTGAATACGAATTTCCCTGTATAGATATAGAGACTCACACCCCAACCTCTTTAGAGGGTATCCCCTAGTCGAAACACCCACCGACAGCTTTCGTTTTGCACTTCCTTTTGGCACAGGTTTTCTGGTCGAGAATTTGTGAATCGCAGCGCGAAACAATGCCGGGCATAAACTAAACAAATGTGAAATATATTTTATATATCTTGTAAAAGAGAACAAGAAAGAGAGGTGATGATGTAGAAAGAGAAAGGGAAGCAGAGAACAGAGGCAGGCAAATACTGAAACAGATTACTTTTCGTCGCTTCGTTCGCGCAGTGCAATTAATCTTGCCTTGAATGGTCTCCTCTCTGCTTTCCCCCCTCTCCTCTCTCCTCTCTGTTCTCCCCCTTTTCGTGTGTGTGTGTGTAGCCCACTTTCCCACCCCAGCCCATCCCCCCCCACTGAACACTTACCCACAACAATCATGTCCTCGTGACCGGAAACTGTCTGAAAGGAAGGCGCCTCGCCGGACACTTCGCAGCGATATCGTCCAGTCGACTGAAGGCTAACCGAACGTAAAACAACAACCACGTCCGTGGAGTTTTGCAGCTGCAAAAGAGGGGAAAAATGGGGCAAAAGAAAGTAAGAAAGTGCACAGTAAAAGTGAGTGAAAGCAGCATACGAGAATCCCTACAACAGGCTTGTTTTATTGGGGCTCTTCTGTATGGAAATTTGGTTAAAACTTTACAATTTTCTAGGTTGTTTCGTGCCGAGAGCTAAAGGCCGACTACTGGTTACCCTCTACAAGACGATCTTGTTCAAATCAAAAACCGTATTCCTGTCGTCTTCATCGCCTGGAGACTCTTCGTCCTCATCGTCCCCATCGTATTGATCGCCCTCGCCCTCGTCCTCGTCGTCGTCGTCGTCTTCCTCTTCCTCGTCGTACTCCTCCTTGGATGCCAAATCTGAGAGGGCATCCAGTATGTCCTCCAGCTCCTGGTCCTTGACGGGCATCACCTGATCCAGGTCTTCCGCCGAGGGCGAGACATTGTAGTGCCGCTCCATGGTCTGCTGGAGCCTGAGGGCATGGTCCATGTGCAGGACCCGCAGATACTCCTTCTGGGAGTCTACCAAGTCGATGGGGTCGAGGGTCGCGGGCTTGCGGATCCCCTCGGCGATCAGGCGTATGGCATCCTCGCGGTCGACGGGCGGCACGGACTGCTCGAGGGTTTGCAGTAATTTTGATTTCTTGTTGCCGAGCATTTTGTTAGTGGAGTAATCTTTCGGGACATTCAAATGGGATCTAGATCTAGGGTAACTAGATTGCTTTCCATAGCTTACCTCGACGTCGACTCCGGGCAGGGGAAACACCTGCCCCGGCGGCATGTCGCGCGGCACATAGCGGTAGAACTCGAACCCGTCCTTGTACCACTTCACGGAGTACAAGGACTCTCCGTCCAGATCAAACTTGCAGCCGAGCGCCGCGTCCTCGTGCCGCATTATGTGCTTGGGTATTTTGATTTCGGTCATTGTCAGGCCCTCCGCGGCCTCTGCAAATGGAACAGAAAGAGAGACAAAAAGAATTGTTTGTCAACTATTTTGTCACGACTTTAATAAGCCCCAGGCATTCTGCATGCTGCATGCTGCATGCTGCACGCTGCGCTCTCGGTTTCAATGCCAGAAACTAAGACCAGGACATAAATAACTGCCAGCGAGTGCATAAAAGTCAAGGAAATCGAAGGCACCGCCACCGCCACCCCAGAACGCCCTAGAACCAACGCCAGACTAGAACAATGCGCTTTTGTTTTGCCAACACAATGCCTCCGGATCCCAGAAGGGGATCCCCCGAACGAGGAATGAACGAGGCTAACTTGAGAAACGTGTCCTGGCTGAAAAGCGCTCCTCCGCGGCCTTCCCAGCGCCGTCTTTGGGGGAGGAGTGCTACGAGCTGTCAGGGTGCTCTGGCTTCTGGGGCTGGGGCTCTGCCTCTAGTTCGGGGCGTAACTTAACACTCGAGACAATGCCAGAGTGAAATGAAAAGTTGGCAACTTATTTAACAGCCCAAGACAAAGACGGGCCTCGCGTAGGCCCCTCCGCGTAGGCCCCTCCGCGTGCTCGCAGGGAAATTTGGGTCACGCAAATCGAGATATGGAATTAATATTGCAGAGCCCGAAATGAGCATCAGCTAGTCCTGAAAGTGGGCCAATCTCTGTCGATGGGGGAGACGTCTAAAAGTAGAGCAGTGCACTTGAGGAACACCCCTCCCCCCCCCCCCCCCCCCACTATCACAATTTAAAGGCTATTCTGAGTGCCGCCATTAACGCAACACTTTCCTAATTTGTTTAACAAAACAGTTGCTAACATTTTGTTGACTTTTCCGGGTATTCATTCGATTAGTCCCAACACTCGGTCCGCGTCCCGCATTGCGTCAGTGAGCAGCAGTAAGCCCTTCATTAGGTCCTCGGCCTACCTCCAGATACTCCAAGTTACGTTGTTGGAGTCCAATCAAATCAAAGCAAACCAAAAGTCAAACCACAGTGAAGCCCCGTCCTCGGAAGCCGATCTGCCCACGCTCTCATTAGAGCCCCGACCCGTCAACTGTTTGGGCAGCTATTTTCGGACAAGTTCAAGAATAACCGCAGCATTGGGGCCTAAAAATACAATTGTCCCCCCGCCGAGGGAGGCCAAGTGTGGGTCTAAAAATAAGTGCAGGATTTCATTACCAAACAGGAAGCGACGTTAAGGCCTTAAAGGCTTTTTTGACGTCGTTTCCTTGTGTTTTTTGTGCCCATTTCTTCTTTCTTTTTTTCTTTTTTTCTTTTTTTCTATTTTTTTTTGTATTTTGTGTTCGTTCAACCAAAAAGCCAGCAAAGCGACAAACAAACAAAAAAATAGAAGGCACAATGCACAAAGGCTTAAAAGAGGAGAACCTATGGAAAATGCAGGCTGTGGGAGACGACGACTGGGATACCCTTAACGCACAAATACCCCCAGGGCTGTAGCCTCTTGATATAAGAGGTTATAATTGATAAATGAATACAATGAATGGCGTTTCCTTTTCGCTTGTAATTATTTCCAAAATTCCCTCTTCTCTGCCTTCCAAAAATATTCTAAAACTCATAACTCCCTCCGTAAAAGGGTATAAAAGGGAAAAACAGCCGCCATTGCAGCCGATTATGATGATGCTGATGATGACGTTGATGATGATGAGGAGAATGGGGACGGGGATGAGGATTGGGCAGAAGGACGGCGCCCACTTTGGGCTTTTTGCTCCTTTGAGTGCATTTCCGCTTTGCGGCGGCAGCGGCGGCGTCGTTTGAGTTCCTGTTTTCCCATTTCCCATCAAGCGCCTCCGCCACCGCCCCCGCCCCCGCCCTGTGCGTGTCTTTGGCGGACACTTTGTGGGGCATAAACTCGTATTTCTGCGGGGACCACAAGTACAATTTAGTATTATGCACTCTCCACTAGTGGGGCGTACAACAGCTGCCTCCTCCAGCCGGGGACTGGCCGAAAGCCCCGCTCGTTGGCGGAAGACAAACAAAGTGCGTTGCCAAAAGGTTTCGCCGCACAAAAGCCCTTTTCCTCCTTGGCTTTGCCTTTGCCAGGCTCAACACAAAGGACTCTCCTTCGGTGTTAACTGGGAGTAAATGGAGTTTTTCGAAGGAAACGGCCGCAAAGCAATGAGGGGTTTGAGGAGGTACGAGATAATTGCAAAGGTGCGAATATCTTTGAAGATTCATACAAAATTACGCCTTTTAATACGTTTTTCTTTCACGCGATTGTGCGAAAATGTAAACAAATTTTCCCCACAGGACGGGGATTTATTTATAGGGGGGCAGCAGCTCATTAAAACGGGACTCTCTCTGCCATTCTGTTCAGAAATGTGCTGATGAGGTGATGGGCGCCCGAAAGTGAATTTTGACAAATGCCAAGTGCCGCCACAGCCACGCCCTGGGGCGGCTAATTGATAAGCCAGCGATTCGAAAGTTTTGTCATCTAACCTGAGCTTTAATTAAGAAGAGCCAGTGACAGGCAGCCAGAAGTCGAAAGACGGAAAGACGGAGAGACGGAGAAATGCTGCTCGCAGGGCGGGAAAGTTTTCCATTTGATGTCGTGTAAACGTCATAGTTGTGGTCGAAAGGGGCCCAGTCAGTGGCTCAGTGGCTCGGTGGCTCGGGTACACTCACCTTCACAGACAAAACTTTTGCTACTTAATTATTGTTGATTTTTAAATGATTTCATTTGCCGCCCGGGGCCAACAAATGTCAGCCACAGCCACAGACAAAAGTTTCCACCGACTGCGACTCCGACTCCGACTCTGGATGCGGATGCGGATCCGGAACCGAATCCTTCCCCCAAAATTGAGTTTCTTTTGGGGATTTAGTTTTGCCCCAAAATCTAATTCACAGAAATGCTAAGAGGCGGGGCAAGGCAGGGCAGGGCAGGAGGGGGAGGAGGCCCAGTGTCAAGTGCAGAAGTTTACGGGCCAAAGTTTAGCTTTGCATATCATTATGGCCGCTTCAAGGGGTTAACTCATCCAAATACTCATAGTGGCCCAGGGACCAGGCTCTGCTCTATATAAACTGCTAATCGACTTTCCAAGGGCTTTTATGGGTAATTTGCTTTCATCAGTTTAAAATTCGAGTTACATTTACGACAGCAGGGAAATTGTGTGCGTCTTAGTATTTCAATTAAAAAGGTAGTCTCTGCAAATCAGCTTCAAATATCCCCAATGCCGTGTGTTGAGAAATTATACTCTTATTAAAGTTTTCATTCACTTTCCCTATTCATGTGCCCATCAATGTGTTCTGCCGCTCGAGCACCTAGTTTTGTGCGCATAGCTGTGTTGTTTACAGCAACGCTCTCACACGCATAGCCACATCACACGCATACAGCGAAGCGTTTCGTTTCTGCATTGGGAACGTCGCGACGCGTCGCCTGATCTTTCAATTCCCTTTTGCCCGACTTCTTCTTCTTCTTGCGGAGTGGAGTTTGTCGTCGAAAGCTGTTCTAGCTGAAAGATGACATCATTTAGCTTCTCTCTCTCTCCTCAGACTAGGCGTGCAAGCGCTCTAAATTGTGTTGAGCGTAAGACCGAAAGACACCCGAAAGAGAGCAAGAGCTACTATTTCGTCATGGCAGAAAGCGAGAGCGAGAGCGATAGCGCGTCTCAGATGAACCTGGCGTGTTGTTGTTGTTGCGGAAAAGAAGAAGGAAGGCAGCGCGCGAAGGAGAATATCGCATGGGAGGAGAGGAATGCGGTCTGAATTTGGATATTTGGATAGAGAAGGAAAGACAGTGTCGCTTGATACATCTGTGTGTAAAAGGAGGTACTTGAAAATACTTCTCCACAGACCGTCCACTGAATGCCATTTGATACGCTTCAACAGAGCTGACTTTGCTTTTAGCCCTCATTTTCACTCTCGAATTTTTGGCAAGAACAAAACCCATGCAGAGGCAAAAACCAATCAAAATCATCTTTAGCCGAAAACCCATTTAGCAGCAAATGACAATAGAAGCGGATTACTCAAGCGGATTAGTTACACAATGCAAACAGGACGATCCAGTGTGCCCCCCGCCCCCGCTCCCTCATCCGCCCCTGGCCACGGCCTCCGTTTTGCGGGCCGAGCAATTGCAATTCCCAAAACAAAATCTGATTGTCATATGAGAGCTCTGTACGGCTTTGCTCTGCCTCGACAGCCAAATGCAAAATGCAATTAATTTTATTAGAGTCCATTGAAAACTCATTGGAAAAGAGGCAAGACACCAGAGATAGATAGAGAGCGGGGAGTGGCAGGCGGAAATTTATGGCCCTGCCAAGGCTTCACTTACAATGCAAATTTTTTCCAGACCAGACCAGAGAGGCGGCGGAAGGGGCGGAGCCAGAGACGGGGAGAAAGAAATTATGATGCGGCTTAGTCTGGGGCATGGAGCAGGGTTTTCGGATGGGGATCGATGGGGCAGACAGGCAGACCGGCAGACTGGCAGACTGGCAGACCGGATGCCAAGACTTGAGCAAATAAAGATGTTTTTGCCATGTTTCGCAGACGCCAGCAGCATCAATACGCATCAATCCTTCGGAGCCCCCTTTTAGGCCGGGCCCAGGCCCAGACTAGAACGTGCTTAATCTGCAATCAGAAGCGGAAGTTGCTCCCCATCCTGCCACTCCTCCCGAGCCACCCTCTGTCTCCTGTCTCCAGCTCCAGCTCCAGCTCCTTCTGCATCTCAGTTTCAGTTCTGTTTCAGAGTCTGCCTTTGACGATGAGTGCATCGTTGTCCACAGAACGGGAGCACGTCTGCCCCTTCGACCCAGAGCCCCAAACAGCTCCCAGTTGTCAGCTCAGTGGAGCTTTTGCTGCATTGCAGGCGCACTTTCATTTGCATATCTCACAGTCCAGCAACAACACAACACAACAAATATCTATATATATGTACATACATACATATATAAAAAAGAATAATGAAAGATGAGAGCTGCATATACCCGTACTCGAGTACTCGAGGACTAGTACTTTTATTCGCATTCGCATTCGCATTGGTATTCGTGCAGAAAAAACTTGGCAACAATCGATCGATGCCCCCCAATGCCCCTGCAATAGACGGATGGAGGGTTAATCGCAGGGCAACAAAGTCAAAAGTTTCTCTTTCGATGGCATTCGATGGAATTTTTGTGCCAATATTTATTTGTGTTTGTTGTTTGCTTCCCAAAAGTTGCATTCCATTCTGTCAGCGGGCGCTGCAGGAGGGGAGGGCATTCTGGGAGGGCAGCGTGGGATCGAACCATCGAATCATAGCGGAAAAAACTGTCTGTTCAGTCGGAAAAGTGAATCGTTATGGTTTCAGATCAATCTGTGGCTCCCAGGGAGGACCACGAGGAGCCCCTGGTTGTGGACAGCAACAACAACCTGGCAGAAATCGATGGAGATTAATATATTTAAATAATGCAAGAACATTTGTTTGATCTGTTTCTTTGTTGGCTTTTGGAGGGCTTTAGCTTGTGTCTATTGATGGTTAAACGCTGCCTGGAAGGGGTACTATCTCCGCTACTATCAAGTTAAAATCCATCTCCCGCTTGGCGGCGTCGTCCAGCGGCGGCTGTGGCGGCGGGGGGGCTGGTTGGGGCACAAACCTCAGTTGTGGATCGCCAACGAGGCTGCGCGCCAGCCACAGGAAGGGCTTCCCCAAATTGTAGTCCTTCTTCACCGATATATCGTAGCGGCCATTTCTGAACTGGGGGCCTTGGCCGTAGCGATGCTGCAGGTCCACCTTATTTCCGCAGACGATCACGGCTCCTTGGAAACGGCTGGCCTTGGCGAAAGCCGTTTTCCATTCGACAACGTTTTTGCACGACGTCTTCGAAGTGACGTCGAACAGGACTATGGCGCACTCCGGCTTCACCTTCAGCTCGCCGTGGGTCTCCCACACCACGAAGCACATGGGGCCGCGATTGGTGTGGAAAACAAGCTCGTGGCTTTCGCGTTCCGCTGCAGCACCGCCGTCGCTGAACTCCCCACTCAGGTGGCGGTTGATGAAGGACGTTTTGCCAGTGCCTCTATCGCCAAGAATCGCGCAGTTAAACCGTGGCATGTTCCTATTCATTTCAGTCAGTTCTTTCGCTTGGGGGCTCTGCCTGCAAATTGATTTGATTTTCGTAGAAATGTGTTTGTTTTCCCTTTGTTTTCGCACAAACCGAATGTCCTCTCGAGGCACCACAGGACCTACTTACTTCTTAGATTTCCCGTGAAAAGGAATAATTTGGAATAATGCGTGACAGCGTGACAATAAAAACTTCTAACTGAACGAAACGTCAGATTTTCCATATGGCAAGGCCCTGTTGCTTGAACAGTAATCGATAGGTCGTAGGGTTGATATTTTACTCATATCGGCGCCAGGTAGCGAGGCGAGTGAGCAAGGACTTCCAGACCTTTCTAGAGCCATTCCATTCCTAGAGCCCAAGACTACGCCCCAAGTGCTGCCTGTTCCAATAATTCGACTCGTTTATTAGCAGTCTTCTATTATTGCTCCTAATTAACGCAAATTCTGTCGTGCCGAATAAGGAGAGATTTCGGGGCTCGCAGGCCAAAGGGACGACTATTTTCTTTAATTAAAATATCAATTAAATTGCTGAGCATTCACAATTACTGGGCAACGCTCACGGACAGCTGCAATAATATAATTAAAATTCACTTCGACTTGACATTCGGCAGGAATGGAATGGATTGGCGCCCACACATCAAGGAATCAAGGAATCATGCAATCAATTAATTCGATTAAATTGAAGGCATCGATTTTAACGTTTTATGATTAATTACATTGCGTGGAGTGCAGTGCCCGGAGGCAGGCGGGGCATGCAGCATTAATGCTGGCTAATTTCTACTTAAGGAATCAAATTGATAAAAGACAAAGCCGCCCCTCGGGTGGGCTCCATATTAGTCAAAACAAAGTTAGATGTAGATGGATGATGAATTAGTTTGACAGATTATAGTAAGTAATTGTTGCGTTAGAAGTCTGGGGAAAATCAAGAGAATTCCTGAGAACAAGACCATTGGGAGAGGGAATATGGCATGAATGAATGTAGCATAAAGATATGAATATAGATGGATGGCTTAAGCCTTAAAGATTACACATTGATTCACTCGTTCATCGATTCCATGTGCCCCAAGCAGCACATCACACCTCATCCCCTTCGGCACCTCATCGAGTGGCGTTCACTCTCACTCTCTTAATCGTGAGGAAAATCACTTGATAATAATACTCGTACTTGTGGGTATTTATGAGGCCTGAAGCATGCCAGGCAAATCCTTAATAAACTCCCCTCGAAGGCGCTTCAAGTGCTCGGCTCTGGATTTGGATTTGGACTCGTTCTTGCTCTGCTCTGCAGACGGTGGGGCTGGGAGTGCGTGTCGCTCAACATTAGTTTCATGTGCTGCCAATAAATGTGTACTTCCTTCGGACAGTGGCTCCTTTTGTTGGTTACAGTTTGGCCGAAAGTGTGCTCGCCACGTTGACTTAATTTCATTATTTGCTGCCAGCCCGAATACCCCGGGACTGGGGGGTAACAGGAGAACCTGCAGGGACTCCACCGACTACTGGGTGTCCTTCTGTCGAGGCCCCCCCCTGTGTTCCCCTCTGTGTTCCGTTTCTTTTTGCGGCATGCGTACGTGACCTCATAATAGGAAAATAAGATTTCTATCTATAATTCAGGCAGTGCGCTCCGCCAGCTAAGTGCCAGCAAATAATAATCATTTCTATTTCGCTTTTTTCGAGGGAGTTTGTCTAGACAGAAATTGTGTTTGTCAGTAATTATTATTTCGCTCTCTGTCTCTCGTATTTTGGAGAGGGAAAGGGAAAGGGGAAAGGGGCACCACACCGCACCGCACCACATCGCAAGTTTCTTCCTTAAACACCGAGCACATGGATGTCCATGGACGAAGAAAGTTTTTTCTTTCCGCTTTGACAAGTTTACCGCAAAAGGAAACGGAAATGGAAATGGGGAAAAACTTAAACATGTTTATTTATTTAATTAAATGCGGCCTCATGAAACTTTTGTACTGTATTTATTCCGCCCTCTCTCCCTCCCTTTCGTGGTCTTTTTTTTTGCTAGCAATCAAATTAATTAAGTTGAACGACACACACACACACACACACACACACACATGGAGGGCAAAAAATAATATTAATAAAATATATTAATTGCATTTGTCGGTCGCTAATGAAAGATGTGTAAATAATGGAATCGAATTTGTGCGAATTTATGTTTTAATTTATGGAAAAATGCCAAAACGTTTAATTCATTCGTGGACAAAAGACATGTGGCCCAAAGACTGTGTGGCAGCTCTTCCGCCTTCGATTGCGAGTGCCACTGATTGCTCTACCACTTTCGAAATGCCTGAATTATTCACGGCCTGAGACAGGCCGCCAGCTATGGAGGAGTCAAAAGTCTCCCAACCCCCGGCCGAGGGGCTCAACCGCGACTGTTGCTTGTTTGCCAGTTAATTTTGTTTAGTTTTCGCCAAGCAGTTTGTTGAACTTAATTAAAAATAAATACCAGGCAGTGGCAAAAGTTGTTGTTTATTCATGGCAACGGCAACATCAAGGGCAAGGGGTGGCGGTGGGGGAGAGAAAGGATTTCCTTTGAGGAAATTGGGCCGGGTCGGGACCCAGCCTCTGACAGCCTTGACTTTGCCGGGGACTTTATCTCAAAGGGGACCTCCCCATCGATTATTGAGTGAATTTTGAATGAATTTATCATTCAGGGCAGGGGGTGGGGGGCAACACATGGCGCATGATTTATTTAATATTCGAGGGGATGGGTTTTCCAGCCGGATGATAAAGTTTTTCCTTACCGTAGCAGAGCTGCAGGAGGATCCAGGCGAGGATGAGGTGGCGACGTCTATAGTGTGGCGCATCCATGTTGCTGTTGCATCAACCTTCCCTCTCTCTCTCTTTCTCGATAAGTTCTCCGAACAAGTTTCCTCGCTGGCTTTGGCTTTTTTCTTGGGTGCAACTTTAATTTTTCAATTTGTTGCGGAAATTTCGGTTATTTTTCTTATTCATACACTCTCTCTAGCTCTCTCTGGCTCTCTATCTCTATCTGTGTTTGCTTTTGCTTCGTTTGCGTTTTCCTCTTGTCTCATTCGTGCAATGCAATAAATTTTCCCTTGACCGCCAACGAGGGAAAGCGTCAACCAATTGCTTTTCTCGCCCTGGCTCTGGCGCTAGCTCTGTCGCTGGCTCTGGCTCTGTCGTCTGCTTATTTATATTTATTTTCCACGAGCCCGTTGCTATTTGCTCTTCCCATTAAGCGTGCTCCACTGTACAGTACACACCCCCGCAAGCACACAGACGGCAGTCGCATTTACATGCCATATCCTGTATCCCGTATCCCGTATCCTGTGTGTGTGTATGTGTATGTGTTTGCTCCTCTATTTGGCTATGGCTATGGCTTTTTCTATTTCTATTTCTATTTCGGGCTTCCTCCGTCGCTCAGCGCACTGTATTTAATTGAAACATCGGCAATGGTCTGGCAGGATCCGTGTGGCAGGATTGGCAGCCTGTGAATGGTAGAAAATAGACACGCATTGAATATTTGAATATTTATCTGGGTTCAAGTTGAAAGACTCTCTTCGGAGGGTCTAGGCCAAGTGTCATTAGGGGTTGTGTCTTAAGTGCCGAAAGTCTTACCAGCTCCCAGGGCTTACAACATTGTTTATTTGCGTCAACAAATGGAAATAGTGAGGCGTATTCCTCGTATCAATAGATCTCGTGATTCCCCAGTAATTATACATGTTCTAAGGCCATAAATCATGCATCTCCTGCGTAATCGTGCATCCGTACGGCTGCGGCTGCATTCGCAAATGAATGAATATTTGAGTGAATTCTACGAGTATATTGCAGGCCCCCGGCTGGGTTTCCCTCAAAGCAAATTTACTCAAGCATTTCCGAGCGGGGAGGGGGGCAGGGGGGGGGCAAGACCTCAAGTGACAAAGACAATTGTCCTGCGTCCTGTGTCCTGCGCAAACAGCAAACCGAATGAATTAATCATACAATTTATGGCCAATAAATGATAATATGTATTAAATGCTCTCCCAGCCAGGAAGCAGGGCGTCCCTCGGAGGGCATGGAGGACGATAGAGAGCCCTCGGATCGGAGGACATGCTCGAGCCCAAAAATCATTGAGTAGAGGCATAAATTAACAATCATCTCGGGGCAGACGACACACGGGCGGGCGATTGTGTAATTGTTCTTGGGTTCTGTTTTGGCCAAAAATTAAATTTGCATAAAATCAATTAAAACCGAAAATCCACCCGGAAAACCAGCAACGTGGGGGGGAGCGGGGTGAAACGGGAGGAAAGGAAAGCCTTTTTGGGGAAAAGTTTGCCAAAATGAAAATCATGTTTTGTAATTAGAGGCCATGAATAATTTTAGCACCTTGTTGTCAGCTATTTTAAGATGTGGCTCACACGGATACGGCCCCCCCCTCCCCCCCTGTCGAACGGGGCGAACGAGTGGCTTATGCAAAATAGTTGGAGCACACACTGCGTATACTTGATGTTTGGCCAAGTCTCAGTCTTTTGCATAATTAATTATGTGGTAGTCATGGCACTGGCACTGGCACTGGCACTGGCACTGGCTTGTTAAATATGCAAATATACATATACACCGTCGCACAAGGTCTAGAAGGACTCTTGGACGGGGGTCACTAACATCTCTGCTGTGGCTTCTGTATCCTGCATCCTGTGTCCCGTATGCGTGCAGTACATGGACATCTTTTGGCCGGATTTGTGCCACAAATTGAATTTCGGCTCTCTTTAAAAGTGCTTTCCCTCTGCCGCTTTAAAGCGGGGCAGGCACCAAACGACACTGGATGTTGGCCAGAGATTTGCCCATAAGGCCATGTTCAATGGCTTGTCGCAACACACAGAAAGTCATGTGGCACACACATGGAGGAGGAGGCGACGAGTGCTGGGGTTAGGAGCAGAGGCTTAGGCTGCAGCAGGCGCCCATGTGGGCTGTGGATGAGCGAGCGAGGTCTCTGAATGCCAAGCGAAGAGATGACTGAATGGCTATACGGGAAGTGCCTCACTGACTGAATGACTGCCACTGCTGTAAGTCTGTTTGTGTGTGTATTAGCCCATTGTAAGTGTTGGGGCCATGGCCAGCTCTTGTTGGTGGGGCACACTTTTCGGCACTCTTTTCCCTTCAAATTTGAGGGAATTTCGGTGAAGGCTTGGAGTCCAACAAGAGCTTAAATGCTCATTTAAATACTAAAAATACAGGACACACATTGTCAGTATTTAATTTCCCTAAAATATACCAGATCTGATCAATTCGTGCAACAAATGAATGCAAATTTGAATAAATCGAAAGCAAATCATTGGGAAATAATTGTTATGGGCCGCAATCAAATACAATTTCGGAGAAGCAAACAAATAAATGCTGCCTATATTTCCCCACAAATTAAACCATAATAAAAAAAAATAAAAAATGCTCCAGGACACTGGTTTGTCCTGGCCGAAAGCCCATTAAAAACATGGCCAATGAAATAAATTTCAAAAATTGCCCCCACCCCCACTCTAAAATATGTTTTCCCAATAGCGGCCTGGCTGGTTGGACAAAATCTGGTTTTATTTTCCTTCTTGCGATATCATTTTTTTAGTGCCAATTGATGGGGTCGTAAAAGCGTCTAAGCGTGGAAGTGACCTCTCGGGGAGTTTAGGAATTTAACGGTCCACCAGAGGGACACGACACTGTGTCCCGTCCCTGCCGTGTGCCCCTCTGGAGCCACCTGCAACTAAATGAGACTAATGAAAGTCCATAATTCAGAGTCCGGCTCAGGGTCTAAAATTAATTGGCATTGTACGGGAATTTAATAAATATACTAGTGTGCGGGGGGGTACGGGGGAGTACGGGGGCGAATGGTAATGGCAATAGATGGCTATATCTGGGCTATAGAATTTCATAATTATAATAATTTATGTTGACACCTGAGGCGTGTGCACAAATTGAACAGGGGATGGCCCCGAGGTCCGCCAAGTTAATAAAACTTTAAGTTACAATTTCTGTGTGTCCCTCTCTCGCTTTCCCTGGGGAAATCTGTAGGAAATTGTTTGTGGCATAATACTTACTTATGACTGGTATTTTTCTTGTTTCTTTTCGTGGTGGCTCGAAGGAACTTGAAGGAACCGCCGAGGTGCTGAGGTGCCGCTCGGACCTTGGAGTCGCTATTCGCGGGAGCTTGTGGTGGGTTTTCGAAGGAGGTGTTTTCTCTCTGGTTCTGGCCTCAGAGTCGAGCTAGGAGTCGCTTGGCCACGTGCATAATAATAACAAATGATTGGTTGTCACGCACGTAACGGTACTTTCATTCATAATTTATGCATTTTAATTTGTCAAAACGTTGGCCAAACAGCCGACAGAGTATGAGTACGAGGGAATCCCCCTTTGCTGAAGGAAACACTCACAGACACAGGCGCACACGCACACACATACGCGGGCGCGAGAACTTCTTGATGAATATGAATATGAATTTCTGTTTAGAGACTTCTTAGTTTTGCTCTGTTATCCTTGCAGCCTGTGTTTGCTTCGAATACTTTTTATTCATAATTTGTACTCGCTCACACACTCACTCGCACTCCGAACACCCACGACTGGGACCCACACACGCACGATGGTGGCCGTGTGTTCGGCTAGAACGCGTCTGGGGGGATACTCGTGTGACCAGGCCACGGAAGGAGCTCGCAGGAGTTTCGGCGTCGCGTCGTCAACCACACAGCACCAATAACCGACCAAGACTAAAAGCTTTGCTCCCCTTATTACCTGCTTTTTACAGGCGGCCCCACACACACAGGGCGCGCTCCACAGCGGGCCGGACGCGCACGAGGACGTCGCAGGATAAGAACGGAACACGAGAACGATGCACGGCTCGGCAAAAGAGTGGGTGTGGATGGGAACGAATGGGAGAGTAAGTGCTCCGTTGGAGGCATAAACTAGTTCGCGTTGTCTGAGGTTACGACTGTGCTCGGGCCGAACGAAGGGAAGAGAGAGAGCTGGAGAGCATCAGAAAAGAGAGCAACACCTCGCTCTTTGTTTGTTGCGATTCCACATTGTTCCGAATACTGTTAACAGGCATGTTAGTTAGCTTTACAGTGCCAGATAACAGCATTATGTTAAGGTGTGAAATGTGTACTCTAACATGGGGCTGTTACGGTATGGAACTGTTAAAATAGTGGGATCATTTTAGGGAACCAACAGCTTAACAGGAGCTGTTATAGAAACTGTACAGAGCAGAAAATAACATAACATAGCTCTGCTAAAGAAAGAGCTGTGTGCTTTGAGGGCAGCCTATGAACAACAAACTATTCCAGATTTTAGGATTAAATTATATTTAATATTTAAAACTAACATAGCTCGAACAAATGGAGCCAAGGGAAATGTTAGTTTACGTAAAAAGTAAGCTGAACACAGCAATTAACAGTGCACCCTGAGTATTCGTCTGACTATTTCTCACTAGGTGCTTTCATAGCTGCCAAAATCTATAGTAGATTGCTCTATTTAAGATCTCTCTGTTCTGTGGTCTGTAGTTCAGAGTTTTTCTGTTTCCGCTGTAGTTCTCCGCCGTGGAGCATTCGTGCAGGAATCTGGGTTCTGTATTTTCTCGCCTATGGCTACAATGTAGCTCTGTGGGCTATACGCCATGTACCATGTTGTACCATATTAGCTTCAGTTGCTTCTTGGCCGGAAGCAATCATTAGGAGGCACCCATTGTCATCGCTGCTTAACATTTTCTCTGGCATTCCCTCTGTCCCTCTCGGGTAATTCTTGCAGGCACCTGTTTTTTGTAGGTTCTGCCCTGGAATGCCCGGAGATTGTGTGCCCAATCCCACGGTGCAGACTGGTGTCTTTAATTCGTATGTATTGTATGTAGAGGCATCGTATGTAGAGCTGCCAGTTTACTAATTTTTCCGCCAAAGGGAGCCAAGTCTGAGTGGTGCTGTCCGACCAGCAGGACTTTCGCTTTAAGCCCATCCTCTGGCCTCCGTTAAGTCCTCCGCAGAGCCTGCATCAATCGTTCTGGCAACACCAATAAGAAAAACAAAGGAAACAAGTGGATGGAAGAGGGAGTAGGAGCCAGGGCCAGAGAGCCAGAGGAGATGTAGTGTATGAGAGAGGAGTATGTGTTGTGGAGCAGATCTGGAGAGCTGGAGATTGGTAACACACACACACATCCATCCCCCCACGCCCCACAACCCACTGAAGCATCAATAGAAAATACCAATAACATCGACATCATCCTATCCTCCGCATCATTAGCCCAAACAAAAACTGCTGACTGGGGCACAATGCCAGCAGGGAAATGGAGAGAGCAGCTCGTTCTCAGGACTCTTCTCTCCTCTCGCAGGGCTCCTGGCTCCTACAGTCCTGACCAAAGCTGGAGGGTCTTAAACTTTTTTCCTGTTGTGCTGCACATGCCCCGGAGGCAATTTGAAGTTGTGGCAGCTTCCTGCCCCTCTCGCCGCTAACCCCTTTCTGCGGGTACGGGTACGGGTATATGCCCCGGCATCGGCTCATTGACAGTCATAACGCTGAAATGCGCCTCAACTTGAACTAATTTGTGCGCAATTTGCGCGAAGAAAGGCGTCGGATGTACCAAAGGCAATATAGAGGGAGTGGGAGAGGGAGAGAGAGAGGGAGAGAGAGCCAATGAATATAGAAAGAGAGGGCTAGACCGCAACAGAGAGAGAGACGGCAGCAGAGACGAGGCGACGCGAGAAGGAATGGCAAGCATTTGCACTTTTACTTAAGCGTAAAACTTTTCCCTTTGCAGGTTGCAGCCAACTAATTTCCCCCCTCCTCCCCCCCCCCCCCCACACAACCACTGTTTCCCCCGAAAGAAAGAAACCTTGGGAGAGGGATGTGTGAGCGAGACGGCAACACTCCCACTGATTGCGTCAACTTTTTTCCTCTTTCCTCAATTGGTTTTGTTTCAAGTTCGTTTTCCCCTGTTTCTCCGCATAAATTTGATTATTCGAATTTCTGTGAATTTGCACCTTGCCCAGGATCTGTCCGTATCTGTCCCTACTACCTCTATCTTCATCTCGGGGAACTGCCTCGATTCGTGTCCCTTTGCGAGGGAAATCCAGTCTCCAATTGCCCGCCTCCTTCGAGAACTGATTGAATCTGTTACACTCCACAGGCGGCTTTATTATTTAACGTTTCAATTACACGCAAAGTCGGAATCGGAATCGGAATCCGAATGGGAATCGGAGATACGACTCTCAGAGATGGACTCCTTCCCTGCCCCTCCTCTGCTGGAGACTATTTAGCATGTAAATGTGAGTCAGTGCCAAATAGTTGTGAAGCCTTGTCCCAGTCACAGTCACAGTCCGCCGTCTCTGACTCCAAGAGTCTCCATTTGTCGAGTGGAGTGGAGTCTCAGTCTCCCCTTTAGAGGCCCAGCATCTATTTTGCATACAAATGGCTTTTCTTTATGTTTATGGAGCGCAAGGAGGGGGAGGAGGAGGAGTGCGTCGAGGGGAGACGCCAAAATAATTTCGCAAATGTTTCATTTGATTACTAAATGAATCTCCGTTGGATCTTGCCATCTCTAATTGTCTTTCATGGTAATGTAATGGAAAATGTCTGAAGCGTGTAACGAACCAGGCTGGGTGTTGGGGAGTGGGAGAAGGGCGCACGCGGTTATTCCCGGCTGGGATGCTCGTCGGCTAATTGGGGTGGTGATCTTGCCCTCCTCTCACCTGATGCCTATCTTCATTATTAACAAGTTAAAATTTATGCGTGCTACGACGAGAGTTAAGGTGGACCTAAAATTGCTTGCACACATAATTGGCCCTTTCTCCGACCTGTCCCCGAACGCTTTTCCCCGCCTCAGATCTCGTTGAGGGCGGATTGACCCTCCCTACCTTGGCCATTCCTAGGTCACAATTTATATGGAATGACCCCTTTGCGTCGTTATGGGATCTTCAGGGGCATTTGGCTAGCCGAAGGCAAAAAAAAAAAAAACTGTGAACTAAAACATTATAAAATTTATTGAATTATGACTAAAAACTGAGCGATTCCTAAATTAAAACTAAACATAACTCAACAAAAAGTACGCATAAAAAGTAAAAAGAATGAAAAAAAATAATATCAATAAAATTGCTTAATAATGATGAGGAATAAAACTAACAATTATCTCGGAATTCATGTATAAAGACAGTACAACAGCCAGACCGAAAGGGGGGGAAGAAACGGAACAAACAATAGGGGGAATTATGTAATTATCTAAATCTCTCTTTTCTTTTCTCTCATGAGTGGAATTGCCAGGGTTAAATTCTTTTGTACTTCGTTCTCACTCACCCGATGATCCGCATATCCACCGACGAAGCGCTTCCCGGAGGAGATTTGGACCTGTAAAGTGAACTCCAATCGGGAGTAAATCAAAGGCACACAGGAAAAAACCTCACTCACAAATTCAACTCTTTGCTCGCTCCACTCTTACTTTGAGCGACTCATTCCACTCGAGTACAACAAAAAAACTCTCTCTGCCCTTTCTTTTTTTTTCTTTTCTTTCGCCTGCCCTTCGCCGACTGTCGCAGACTTTAACGCACAAAAAAAACTAACAAGGAAATATTACTTAACTCATTAAATTATTAACACTAAACACTTAACACTGAAACCTATTATTAATAGAAATCTCGGCCATTCCCGGTTTCTTTTAGTTTTAGATTTTCCCTTCCGAAATCACTCCATCGTTCCCTGGGACGGTTCCCGACGACAAAAATCACTCGCGAAGCCACTCGAAAGACCCCGCCAGATCTCGGACTGCTCTTGCTTTCGCCCTAGCTACGCTACATAGCCCTGCCTTGGCTCGCTCTCCAACAAGACGATTGAGTTTTTTTTTTTCTTCTTCCCCAAAAACCGCTCAATTCCCGCTAGCGTGACGTCGGTGCCCGTGTACTTGGGCCAGCAATTTTTTCCCCACCGCTGCTTTGGCTGCTCCTCTGGACCCCTTCTGGCGTCCCTTGGACGCTCAATCTCCTCGACGCCTCGCGTCTTTGGATCCGCGAAGCTGATCCGGGCCGCTTTGCAACGAAAATACGGCGATGCGGCTTTCCTCCTTTGCAGTATCCACTGCGCCAATGGCCGGTCCTAGGCTGGAAAAACTAATGCCGGAATACTGAAGCTCTTCTCCTCCCGCCGCGATTACACGTTTTTTTCCTTTTTAGCACTTATAAAAAATACTTGTTGGCTGTTGATAGACAAAACGAACGCTCGGGTCGAGCGCCAAAACGGGAAGAGACCGAAGCCAAGCCCCTCAACAAGCTACAACCCTCGGGCCCTCTCAAAGGACAGGGTGAAATGCCAGAGAAAGTTGACAATCCAAGCTGTTAACTCTATCCCCCTTCCTATGCCACTTTTCGTGATCTCCCCGACCTAGCCCATAGAGGGTGTTTGCTCTACCCCGGCCCTTACGGTGCCGACCACTAGATGGCGCTGCGAACTAGCTCTCTCGCTGATCCAAGCGTTACAAATACCCCCCGCCGAAGATCTGACTTAGTGGTATCACACAAGTCGGATCCAAACTGCGCGGATCAGCTATTGTTTTAAGTCTTTCGCGTGGTATCGCCCAATAGACCGTCCTTGTAGATCCTCCAACTCATAATAAGCATTCCCTATCTTCTTGCGGATTCTGGCCTTCACATAGGCTGGGCCCAGTTTGGCGCTATAGCCAGCCTGGAAGTTGCTCTGCTTAAAGTTCCTCCGGAACACCTC